TGTAAATATTTTATACTAATTATTTTATATAAGCTTTATTTGAAAACGTTATTAAAATATCTTCATTACATTAGCATTTACTGCGATATATTATATATGATAAATCTTTCATAATTTTTATAATAAATACCTATGAGCTGTGTAATCTAAGATCACAAAAATATTTTCAAAATAAAAAATAGATTTTACAAATAGTTTGTAAATATTCTATAAATATTGTATTGGGTATAGACATATTTCATACATAATTATATATGTTTATAAATATTTATAAATATTTGTGTATATTTTTACCTGAGTTATCGAATTATTCTACAGCATCAAAAAAATTATACATATTTTATGATTTACTCGTATTACTATGTACGTTGATATAAGAATAAATCATATTTCTCATAAGACGATTTAATAAAGCAACGGAATATAATGCTAAACACTTTATTTTATATAATTCTGGATATACCTGTTTGTTTGCGTCGTATGATAGCGTATTTTAGTGATGCTATTAGGAACGGTAATGTTGTTTGTAAATTGCTTATTACAGATATCATATTGCCCCAAACTTGTATAATTGCATATATCATCGGAACAATAGTAACAAATATTAATAAAATGAAAATAATGCCAACCCAAATTTTTGACAACAAGTTTTTCTCAGTATATTTGTTGAGTTTAGGCCACAAGCCCACCATTTCAAATCCTATACGGTGTGGATTAACTGCCCACATGAAATCTAATAAGTTTTAATATTATGATATCAGCGATTTGAATAAAACACTTTTGCAAACTAGCATATAAATTATTATTAAATGTTTTACAGAACAAAAATTAATTAATAACATAAATTAATGATAACGAAGTATTTCAAGAATGGATTTACAAAACAAAATTCTTTACTATAATTTCTTTACTATACATATTAAACATGGATAACTATAGGACATGAATAGTACCCATGTATCCTTGAGATTTTGTAATGTCCATATCGAAAACTATAACATGAAGAAGATCTCGTTCCTTCAACGGTATAATGCAGAATGATCATCATGCATGCTCTTCATAAATGCGGATTGCATGGCATTAAATATTAAGAATACTATCCATAAGAATACTATCCATTACAGCTACTAATATTGCGAGAAAATTTTATAAACGTTTCAGTTATAAAAAGCATTTGTGTCTGGTTTAATAAAATATGAGATAAAAAATATTTCATTGCATCGTAAGTTCACTTAATTCACTTGACAAATTTTTTTCGTTTTGCTTGTCGCTCCATTATGTATGCGTCTACTGCGAAACGAGAAATAACACATTTGCATTTTTAATACGACTTTCTATAGCCACTAAAATTGTACTAAAGAAAAGAGATAATATTAAATTGTATTATGCGTATTTTCAAATGTCTTTTTCAAGGACACATTGATTGTTACAGGAAACATGAGCGAATATTATTTAGACTGTAAGTATATTATAATTCGTACTTCACAATTGTATTTCCAATGATAAAATTTCGGTTCCTTAAAACTGCAATTTTATAATGTACATTTTCTAATTTATAATGTACGTTTTCTATGATCTAGCAACATTCTTGCAATGTGAGATAACCAATTTAGTTTGACATTTTTCTGTTCATCGAAAATAAAGACAGCCAATCAATTCTTTTCTTAGGATTGAAGTAAGGGATAATAAAAGTGACATATTGGATGCATTAACATAATTATATTCATCTTACTACATTGATTTGATAAAACACGATAGTACTAAAAATTGATAAAACGTTATTATTACGTTATTATAATCTAATTCAGAAACAAGCATTAAAGAGAAATTTATTTTATAATTTTGTACTACAAATACCTAGTTTTTTCTTAAATGTAATGCACAAGAACATAATCACTATTGAATTATTCCTATGCAATAAAAGTATTCATCACATTTTAAAATGCTTAGTGACATATTATTTATAATAGATAACAATTATATAATAGACAAAACATAATTTTATTTTTTAAATATGATAACAATAAATTTCTAGATATTTTCTAAGTAGGTAGGAAATTCTTTACTTGTAACTATGCAAACTGTAATTATGAATCTACATTTTTACACTTATGTAGTATGTTGAACATTAATATATCATCTTCAGCTATGTTCTGTCAATAGGATTGATATATAGCCGATTGATGATTTTAATATCTAAAATTAATTATTATTGTTATTTCCTGACATTTAAAAATACACCAATGTCGACTTTGTGTGCGTGTATATGTAAAAATCAAGGTACTGATTAATTATGATGATTTTAATTTGTACTTTAATTGTATTGTTACGTTTTTTTAATTTAATCTTAAAAATGTGTGATAATCATTTCATGACTTATTATTTCATTTATGTTATAATAACATTTGCAGCTATAATCTGTAATCTGGTTTATACTATTTTGTAATTTTTTTTATACGTGTATGTGTATATATTGTACACACACGCGCGCGCGCGCGCACTCACACACACGCGCGCGCGCGCGCGCACGATGAGAGAGAGAGAGAGAGAGAGAGAGAGAGAGAGAGAGAGAGAGAAGTCACATACAAAGTAAAACATATTTCGTTAAACAGAAAAGGGATAAAACTAAAACGACAAAATTATAAATAATCTTACATTGCAAAAAGTACCCATTGTGAGTGGAAAAATCTTTCCTGCAGTGATATAAAAAGGATATTTAGATCGAATCATTAACAAAATAAGATTTCTTGCCTTATTTGATTCCAACTTGTACCATTCAAGATCGCACATTGCACGATATACAGCATTGCTCTTAATAAATGTGTATGAGAAAATATATTAATATTCATAGCATATTAATGAGAATTATTTCCAAAAGTATTAGTAATAATTGATTAAAATTTAATTAATCTCTTACTTTTTGTAAAAATTAAAAAATTAGAAACAGAAACATATTATAAACTTGAATGAGTTTGTATCATTCTGTTTAACTTTTATTTAAAACTCGACATTTAACATGCATACAAATATACATAACAATATATATAACAAAATTAATTATTAAGTTTTTTTTACTAATGCGATAGTAAATTTGATAATAAATAGCATTATAACAATATAAGTAAAAAAATACTTGTTTATATATATGAAAATTATTTGATTCAAACATAAAATATTATAAATTTATTTATATACAACACTATTTATGCACATTATACATATAACTTACTTGCTCTGTTACAAGTTCTCCTGCTCCACAATAGAGAACAGTATTCACCAATAAAACAACAAGAAATAATAGTGACAAATATCCTTGCATGATATCAGCTTTATCTGCATTTTTGTCTGTAAATATCTGAAATACATAAATTATAGGAAAGCATAAAGAAGCATATTACATCTGTTGTGAAATATTTTCTCCAATTTATTTTACTGAATCTTACAATAGTAAATAAAAAACCGCTCAGGCAAAATACAATAACAAAATGAAATATCAATGCTAACATCATTACAGAATACGTATTTTCGATATTGTCGACAAATCTACAAAAATAGAAAAATTTTAAACGATTATCGCATTGAGTCAATAAGACACTATATATATTCAGAGATACATATTTCTAAATATTAATCTAAACATAAAATAAACAGATTATCATTTATAATATCTAATACATTTCTAATTGAATATTTCAAATAAATAAAGTGTACAAAATTAATGTAATTATTACATTATGTAATTGTTATATTGTATATGCTAATAAGAATACTTTTGTCAAATAAGTTCTATAACTGCCAATCTACCTGAGAATAAAACGTAATAAAGATTTCAATGAATATGATTACCGAATTGAAAAATAAACAGAAAACGTACATATCTCATTCCACACATATGAAAGATTAATCTATTATTAATTTGCTATAATAAATATAAATGAAGATAAAAAATTTTAACATCTAAAGATTAAGACGGACTTGTAGAAAATATATTCAATAATGCTTCTAAATTAATTACATTAAATGTTCTAGCATAATAAAAATTCATACCTGATAAGACGTAAATGGGTTTCTATGATGTTGTTCAAAACTTCATTGAAATTTTTGCATGAAATCAAATCAGTTAATCGACATCTAAAGTTTTCTAATTGGCCACAAATGTGAAGAATTATTAAAATTAGAAAAATATCTACACATATGTAAATGATAGCTGCTAAGAAGGTTGTAAAGCTATGAATAAAAAATGTCAATTCAAATTGCGGACTTTTATCTGTATTGTAAAAATGATAACTCTTCAACGGTAACGGTTTATTCGCACTCGTGAAATTCGTTACTACGTATATTAGTGGAATGCCAAAACAAGGTGGAATGATTATTGCGAGAACCGCTATTCCCATCAAAACATATCCAATTATCATAATTAATCGTGCTATTTGTGCTTGTTTTATCATCACATTTCTTTCTTTATCTTGTTTAAATGCTATCCAATCTTCCGCCATCATATTTACAATTGACAGTACAACTTAAAAATATAAATAACTATAGATAAAACATAAGCATTGCTAAAGGCGTTAAAATAGTGAATTATTCGGACATATGTTACTATTTGTAAACTACTATTCATCAAAGAAAAAAATATATACATATTTTATTATTTATTTTCATGTACGTTGATATGTAAAAGTAAATCATACATAATTCTTGTTTTCTTCTATTATAATCCACAATACATTTCTATCAACAATACATTATAATTATTTGTCATATGACAATTTAACAAAGTGATGGAATATAACACTAAATATTTTATTTTATATAATTCTGGACATACCCGTTTGTTTCCGAAGCATAATGATGTATTTTACTGATACTATCAGTTGCGGTAACGTTGTATGTAAATTATCTATTACATGTACCATATTACCCCAAACTTCTATAACCGCATATATCATCGGAACATTAGAAATAAATATTAATAAAATAAAAATGATGCCGACCCAAATTTCGGACCACAAACTTTTCTCAGTGCATTTGTTGAGTTTAGGCCATAAGCCCACCATTTCGAATCCAAAACGATGTAGATTAACAGCCCACAAAAAATCTAATAATTTTTATACGATATAAGCGATTTGAATAAAATAATTGCAAATTAACTTTTAAATTATTAAATGTTTATACGGAACAAAAGTTAATGATACTGAAATATCTCTCAAGAATATATTTACAATACAAAATTATAAAAATTTGTTTACTGTATACATTAAATGCGACCAATAATGTAGGATGCAATTAGTACCTTTGTATCCTGGAGATTTTGTAATATCCATGTCGAAAACTAGAACATCAAGAAGATCTCGTTCTTTTCAAGGTTTGATGCAGAATGATTATTACGCATGCTCTCCATACAAATGTAAAAACTCAGCACCCTTGTTAAATGCGGATAACGTGGTATTAAATATTAAGAATGGGATCTCTAACTACTGATATTGTAAGAAAATGTCATAAACGTTCAATTTATAAAGGGCGTTTATGCCTAGTTTAATAAAATATGAGAAAATAGTGCTTCACATCGTAAGTTTGCCGAACACACTTGAACAATTTTTTTTATGTTGCATATTGCTCCATTATATATGCATCTACTGCAAAACTCCATTACATTTTTAAAACGACATTCTATAGTCATAACAATTGTATTAAAAAAAAGAGATAATATAAAATTGCATATTACGCATATCTTCAAATATCTCTTTTAAAGACTTATCGATTGTTACAGCAAACGTAAGAGAATATAATATCATCTCTACGTTATAAATATATAATTCGTTATTCACAATTCTATTTCCAATGATGAAATTTCAGTGCCTTATAACAGCAATTTTTTTATAATGTGTGTAGCATTCAATGATTTGGCATCTCTTTGCTGTGAGATAACCAATTTTGTTTTAACACTTTTCTGTTCATCCAAGTTAAAATAGCTTCTTAAAATTAATGTAAGTGATAAAACTGACATAGATGCACTAACGTATAGTTACATTTTTGTCGCGTTCATTGAATAAAATACGAGTAAAAATTAATGAAATTATCACTACATACAATCTAATTAAAACACAAACATTAAAAGGGAATTTATAGATTTTTTATTTCTTTTTAAACGTAATGCACAGATATAATGTTTATCGAATTATTCCTGTGCAATGAAAATATTATAAAATGTTTATTAATATAGTTTATAAGAAATAACGACGAATAGACAAAACATAATTATATTTCTTAAATATGGTAACAATAAAATGTATTTTATAAGTAGGAAATTTTCACTTCTAGCTATCTATGTAATATTGTAGTCACAAACATATTTATTTGTACGCTAATGTAACATCTTAAATGTTAATATATCTTCAGCCATGTTTTGTCAGTAGAAATGATATATAGCCGATTGATGATTTTAATATCTAAAATGAATTATTTTTGTTATTTTCTAACATTTAAGTATGCGGTCACTAATATCGATTCTAATGCATCAATACATTAATTTATTACAACTAGTTTTTAAATATCAATTTATAAATATGTGATAATATCATAAATGTGTGATAATTTTTGTATGCATCGTCATTAAATGTATGTTACAGTAATATTTGTGGCTATAATCTCTATTATACATAGATAGATATGTGTGATTATTGTGATCGAAATGTAGTAAATATTTAATATTCTGCTCTTAGTTATTATCTTACTTTAACAAAAATCAACAGCAAAATAGTAAATATTGTAAATAATAAACTTTTGTTTATTAAAAACAGTAGAAAATACGATAATTTATATTACGAGAAATCTGCAGAAAAATATATAGATTTTAAATATCATTACTGCAAAAAAAACAGTTTATTGGGTTAAAGAGTATAACTTTAATGTATTCATTTTTTCTGTCTTAATATACTCATAAGGAAAGTTGTTTTATTTTATCAACATTAAACAAAATTTTTGTGGCAAATAAACAATAAAATGAATAGCATGTATGTACGAGTATATCTAATTAACTTGATTTACTTGATGTTAACAATTATATTTACTTTAGAACAATAACATTAAAAATGAATGAAGAAATAAAATTACTTAGTTACCAACTGGTAATTAAAAAAATTATACAGAGTATTTATTTTAAAGGATCGACGCAAATATTTCAGAAACGCTGCATTAAATCGAAAAATGTTTCAGACAAAAGTTTTTTGACTTTGAGGGAGATATGAGATGGTACCATTGGTTTGCCTTGGCTAGCATTATCGAAGTCAGGACAAGAGCATTTTAAATTTTTTAAACGGAAATTTCCATTTTTATTACATATTACTGTAACTTACTTCGAGAGCTTTATAAAACATTATAATAAACAATATTTTTAAATATAATACTTTTCGTGTTATAAGATTTGAAAGTTACAGTATCGTTGGAATTAGCATTATTCAAAATGTCCGACGACTAAAACCTATTATCATAAATGTTCAGGATTATGACATGAATAGCATTTGTCAAGCTCAAAGTGGAAATTGTACCTCTTATTTTTATTTTTATGTAAAAATGAGTTTTCTGTCAAAAATGAAAATTACAATTCCAATGGCATTGATCTTAGCAAATGTTAACCAGTCATGATCTTGAACAACATTTAAAAAGTTTTTGTCGATTTGACACCTTGAGTAATGCTAATGCCGACGGTATTGTAAATTTTAAGCCTTATAATTCGAAAAGTATTTAATGAAAAAATAGTTTAATATAGTATTCTGAAAAGTTCTCAACATAAACTAAAGAGAATATGTAACAAGAAGATATTTTAAAAAATGGGTAATCCCATTTAAAAAATTCGAAGTGACTTCGCCCTGACCTCGATAGCGCCACCAAAGAAACTAATGGTATCATCGTATATCCCCATTGAAGTAAAAAACTTTTTGTCTGAAAAATTTCTCAAATTAACACAGTATATTTACGCATTTGCATGATCACTCGCGTGTGCATGTGTGTGTAGATACAAGAGAAAAAAAGAAAAAAAGAGAAAAAGAAAATAAGGTTGCATATATAAGAGTAATATAAATTCCATTAAATAGCAAAGAAGCAAAATTTAAGGTGAGAAAAATTTTAGTATTCTTACATTGCAAAAAGTACCCATTGTGAGTGGAAAAATCATTCCTGCAGTGATATAAAAAGGATATTTAGATCGAATCATTAACAAAATAAGATTTCTTGCCTTATTTGATTCCAACTTGTACCATTCAAGATCGCACATTGCACGATATACAGCATTGCTCTTAATAAATGTGTATGAGAAAATATATTAATATTCATAGCATATCAATGAGAATTATTTCCAAAAGTATTAGTAATAATTGATTAAAATTTAATTAATCTCTTACTTTTTTTGTAAAAATTAAAAAATTAGAAACAGAAACATATTATAAACTTGAATGAGTTTGCATCATTCTGTTTAACTTTTATTCAAAACACGACATTTAACATGCATACAAATATACATAACAATATATATAACAAAATTAATTATTAAGTTTTTTTTACTAATGTGATAGCAAATTTGATAATAAATAGCATTATAATAATATAAGCAAAAAAATACTTGTTTATATATATACAGATACATGAAAATTATTTGATCCAAGCATAAAATATTATAAATTTATTTATATACAACACTATTTATGCACATTATACATATAACTTACTTGCTCTGTTATAAGCTCTCCTGCTCCACAATAGAGAAAAGTATTCATCAATAAAATAACAAGAAGTAATAGTGAGAAATATCCTTGCGTGATATCAGCTTTATCTACATTTTTGTCTGTAAATATCTGAAATATATAAATTATAGGAAAGAATAAAGAAGCATATTACGTCTTTTGTGAAATATTTTCTCTAATTTATTTTACTGAATCTTACAATAGTAAATAAAAAACCGCTTAGGCAAAATACAATACCAA